GGATCGTGTCAGAGTTGCATGGAACTTCGGGACGATCACCCCTACATTAAAAGATCTGAGGTGGGAAAACTCAACGACCTTGAATGCCCTTGTTGTAAATAAATGTAGTGACCTTGAGTACTCTACCTTCTAAAAGAAATAACTTCAAAACGAAAATAGACGTTGCGACTTGTGGCAAATGCGCGAGGACTGGGCTAGTTTTAGGACAAATATGGATCGCGTGGGCTATGCGCGTGACTTGGATGTGATGTCTGTAGGAGTTCTCTGGGGTATATAAGTGCGATTCTGTACCGGTCAGTGACACTTACTGTTAAAGTTTGTCGAATCTCATCCTACTACATCGCTTTTGCCATGGGGCCTCGTCCGCTACCTCTCCTCTGCAGTTTGATTGCAGTGGTTTTTCTCGTCAACCGTGCAAAAGGACTCGCCGTACCCAAAGCTTCGCCTCTCCATATTTTGTTTGTTGTTGTTGACGACCTCGGCTGGAGTGATGTCGGATTTCACGGCTCGAAAATCGAAACTCCAAATATTGACGGATTGGCAGCGGAAGGGGTCGAACTGGACAACTATTACGTTCTACCGGTTTGCACTCCCACAAGAAGCGCTTTCATGACAGGACGATATCCAATACATACCGGTACGTCTGAAACTTTCCAGCAATATTTAACGAGTAGCAGGTGTTCTACTGACCCCACTTAGACTCACAAATCCCGATCGTCCTTTCCTGTGATTCCGAACCACAGCAGGTGCAATTGTGGCCACGACCTCATGCCTACCAACTCTCACTCCGTTTGGTCGAGAGCTTCGATTTCACATCACCCTTAGCAGTTAGTACTCTTGATCATTATTATGCATAGAGATCCGACTATCCATAGTATATCAGCGCTCGAAACCTTGCAACTCTTTCATGTATAAAAGTGTACAACTTTGCCCTGGATATACGGGTATCTGGAGAGTAATAAGTCTTTCCATGCATATATCTGCACATATTGAAGGTTGCGTAGTAATAATAATGATAAGAGGGATTTCAATGGCGCCTTATCGTGTGCTATTACCGTGTGCGTATGGCGCTGTACAACTGATTATTTCAGACCGAAAATTTTGCAGAGTAAAATTTTGTAAGAAGTCGCAGACTTACTTGGAACAAGTAGACTTACTCACTGTTTTCCTTTCGATTATGTTAAGGTATGCAACACTTTGTGTTGGGTCCGGCAAGTCCATATGGATTACCCCTTAACTTCACCACTTTGCCCCAGAAGATGAAAGACCTAGGTATGCATATAGCTATATATGAACATGTGCTCCATGTTTGAGTTAACTTTAATTTGCGTAATAGGTATATATTGTTGGTGGAACGTGTATAAATGTTATCTGTCTGATAAATATCGGTTATTGTGACGTTATTTCTCACGGATGTGGTATTGTTCTATCATCTCCCTGATAGATGTGACTTATGGTAACTCAGTGTATTTCTCAGGGATGTAGTACTGTTCCATTTGGCTGTGATATTGTTTGTGGACTCATGAGGAGACCTATGGCATTTGGCCAATGTCACAGGCTCTTCCAAACCTTGGTAGAAAAGGGTATCCACTTGAGAGTGAGGTGCCAAAAAAATTACATCAACTAACTTGGCTGGAACTATGTGGCAGTTAGAAAAGATAACATACCAGATCTTGGGAAATAAAGAGTTCTTAGGGGCCGACCATTTAACTTTTGAGGGGGGGTGGGTGATTTCTGGTCATCAAGAAATTTTTTCT